AAAAAAAAAAAAAAAAAAAAAAAAAAAAAAAAAAAAAAAAAAAAAAAAAAAAACAATTTACTAATTTAGTAATTTAGTAATTTACAACCGACATGAGAGAGTGACAGCACGCATGACACCAACCAGAGTGACAGCAGACTTGAACACACCAAGACAGGAACGCACAATGTTGAAGTCTCTTGATGATGAAAGCCCTCGTCTCGTTGACTTAACGCTCCTGCCGCCCAGCAGCAACCTGCATCCCAATGATGTCCTGACCTGTCCGGCATTTTCTTATAAGTATACATGCAAGGACCAGACCGTCCTTCGGCCAGACTATACTGCCTAACTTTCAGGACTGTTTCTGAGTCTGCAGTACCCTGCCTGGGTCCTGTCTGGACCTACACGCATGAACCCTATTACCAGGGCCTTGTCTGGGCCTACCAGCCATGAACACTATAGATCTGACCCCAGGGCCTACCAGCCCTTCGCCGCCTGCGCTGACTGCCATTAGCCCTACCGTTTTCCCCCCAATAGAATGTACGGTCATTTTGCCAGAATCTGGACTGAAAGTTGCCCCAAATGCAGGAATAATGACCGCAGTAAGCCCAACTGCCTTCCCCCAAACACACCGTACAGTCATTATGTCTCTATCGGGACTGAAAGTTGAGCCAAATGTAGGTACAATGACGATGCTGCAATAACTCAACATAAAATATGCATTAGTCTTAAGCCACATGTCGACACTTGGCTCTAAGGGCCGTAACAGGGGCCAAAGGCCATGCCCAAGTCGTAGGAAATTGCCTGATACAAGGCCTGCTGCTGTGGGTACCCAAAGCACGGCCTAAACATGGGTCCCAGAGGCCCTACATCCGACAGATGACCATGGAAAGTCAAAGGTCAACAGCAGCTCGGAAATTCAGGCTCACGAATCAAAGTCTACAGGGTCCCAGCCCAGGCCACAGACCAGACACACACGTTTGGTTGTTTGCAGGAATCTGTCAAGGATTCAGTCCAAGTGGGAATCTGCAACTGTATGGAATCCAGCCGTCAACTATGGGTGAATCTGGGCTGCCGTACCCCCGAGACCATAGGCTGGACAGGCCGAGTCAACACTATATTTTGACCCAGCCTTGCTGACCGTCATTCAGTCTTGCACTTGCTGCTCGATGCTGGCTGGATATTAGCTCTACGCTGGCATTACGCTGGCTCATCGCTGGCTTGACATTGGACGACTCCGCGAGACTGCTCTGCGCTTACTTGATGCTGGCGCCATCTCTATCTTTGGCGCCGGCTGGATCAGATTCTATGCTGACGTGGTGCTGGCCACGCTGTCTGCTACCAAGACTATGCTGACGTGGCATCGGCCATACTGTCTACAGCATTTGGGGATTGGCAAGGAGGAGGATCAGGGCGGTGAGACATTGAGAGCAAAAAAATCTCAGAAACTGCAACCAAAGGAGGCCGTGGATGGGAAAAAAAAAAAAAAAAAAAAGAAGGGCCGGTAGGCCTGATTTGAACAATTTCAAATCGGGGCCCATCTGCGCCGTCAATCTCCAGGATCGACGGCCCAGGATCGACGGCCCAGATAGGCCGTGATTGAAGTAGTTCAAATTGGGCCTACCGGCCCTTTTTTTTCATGTGTTGCTTCTAGTTTCCCGCCCGATTGTTCACTATGCCCGACCCGACGCCTCACTTCGGCCGACGGGTGCATTCGTCGTCGCCTTCGAAGCCCTCGCCCGCCAACGCAGTCGACGCCCCGCCGACGCCGGCGAAGAACACCATCGCGCTGCCCGCCGACGCCCCCCGACGCCCCCTGACGCGCGCCACGGTGAGTGTGCTAGTACGAGAGAGAGAGAGAGAGAGAGAGAGAGAGAGAGAGAGAGAGAGAGAGAGAGAGAGATCTTCTTCTTCTTCTCCCTCGCTTTGTCTCTTTCTTCTC